GCTGACTTATTCCACAATCTGCTTGACCAACTATCCTTCCTGTAACAAAATCAGACGATTCGAGAGAACCTTGAGTTCTAGGCATGTTGTAGCACAAGATAATTAGTGTGGGGACCATTTTCATTTATATAGTGCTCTGTGAACACAAATTAGTTAGCATAAATCAGTTAAATGACGAAAAATTAGTTGTCTATTTACTTGTGACCACTCAGTGTATAGGTTATTTCTGCTGTGAATATTTTTATTGCAATGTTCATTTATATGTCTAATATACCTGTATAAAGGTTATTTCATGATGTTAGAAAAACACTTAGGTTCAAGAAGTCTTGATAGAAATGAATAAAAACCTTATAACCCAAGTGCTTTCGAAAGCACTCGGGTTATAGAGTTTTTATTCATTTGTATAAAGGTTATGTCATGTTTCAGGTTTGAAACTTGTTTAAGAAGCTTAAAATATACGGCATATAATATATAAAAATTAAACAAGCATGCTAACTCAGTATTTCCACATAAAATATTTTTGAAATATTTTAGATAGTCATTTGATAAAGTATGTGTTTTTATTATTCATATTTTTATGCTTGGCATGATTGTGGATTCTGTGGCAAAGTTGTGCTTAAAACCTATTACAGATTAACCTTTGTAGAAAAATGTTAATAAAGTTATGGTATATGTTTTACTGATACATATTTTCTTTTTTTGTAAATAGTGTTGGGGAACACTACAATCCAACAAACTCAAGTCATGGTGGGCCGGATGAAAGAGAAAGGGTATGTTAAGGTAGTTAATGTAATTGATTATTGTATATATATATATATATTGATGTACAGTTTTAACCCTCTCACTATGGGCAGGTCAAAGTGCACATCTCTTGACTTTTTTGAGAGTTAGATTCAAACTTTAATTAAACTACTTTATTATTATGGTATATAAATAAGCTTGGCATAAAAATTTAGTTATTAAATAAAATGTTGATTTTATATAGGTTTTAAGTTCTTAATTTTATAATGAAATATTTTAAAAAGTCCTCAATCTCATTCTAGTATGAGAATTGTGACATTTGCTCTCTAGGTATCCCATCTTCTCTAATTTATTTACCACCCCTCCAAGAAGTACAGAATTTAATGTAAATTACTTATTATAATATTGTTACCACCTAGAGAAAGCATAATTTTTATAGCCTTAAATTTTATTTGGTTAAAGAGCCATAAAGTAAAAAAGCAGACCCATCTTGCCATGCCCACCTAACATGTTATCTCTGTCAGAAATTGCCAATAGTTCTCTCTGACATTTATTACTATATTATGTATAACCAATAGAAAGCTAAAGTTTTAATCTATCAAATGACTTATTATGCTTTTTTTCTGTACAGAGAATTGTCTAATACGCTTCCTGTTCAAATTGATTCTCATGGGAAACACGTTGACAAACTTAGCTGAATTTTTAATGGCTCTTATTGCATAGTTAGAAAGCCAGAAAAAAAAAAATAATAATAGCTATCAAATATTGCCTGCTTTTTATGGGTTATTATTCTGTGTTCTTAGATGCATTATTTAGTTAAATAAAAAATTATTTATTACAGTACTACCATTAGTATAAAAAATAGGGTTAAGTTTCATTGACAGTCCACAGCAAAAAATGAAGATTCAGGTATTATTATATTTCATGTGTATTCTTTACTTGTTGTTATAAAAGGAACTAAAACTTAAAAATTAGGAATTATTACGTATGATTAGGTAAGATAATGAAAAAATAAAATAAATAAAGTTTCACAAGGTATGCTCGTGAGTAACCTGTACCTCATGTAAATCGATAGGGTAATATGAACCACACATTTGACAATTGATTTACAACTTGTGAGGTGGGATTATTAGTTAGACATGGATTAAAGGACAATAAAATTTAAGTAGAAACAGATGTATATTGTTATGAGACTTAAGCTATTTAGGATAAACAAATGTTGTTTCATGTTACAATTTGAAGTCATTCTGGAAAAAAAATGGTAATTTAGATTTATTTCATATTTTTTTATTGTGTTTAGAAGGTTGGTCAATTTGACCAACCTTGTATAGAGTTAGGATAGAGAAAATAACAGATGACAAAGAAAGTTTTACTGAAAAAAACATGTTTGAAACTTAAAGTGGTTTTAGAGATTACTTATATAAAATTTCACACTTTTCAGATGAAGAAAAGTATTTTTAATCTTAACATGAAAATTACTTTGCACTCTTAGAAATCAACACTTTGATTCCATATATTTTGGAGAAAATTTTAGTGAAAATACTTCATTAAAAATTCAGATGTTTTTTTTGTCTACAAAAGACTTAATGCTTACTGAAAGCTTGAGAAATTTCAGGAAGATACACAGAACATATTAAAAGCTACAGACTTCTAGTATTAAAACTATAAAGATGAATTTTAGGTCAAGAACTTGACTGAATCGACCAAGCCCATAATGAGAGAGTTAATACACATTATAAGCTTAGAAATAATGGTTGGCCATCAGATTGCTAGCTAAGCAGGAAATTGAATGTTTGATCAATACAACACATTCCCGGTGGGTCTGCAACAAGCTTACAGACATACAATGCTAACATCTGGGATTCATTTCTCTAAGGTGTACAGAGTGCAGAAAGCCCATTGTGTAGCCTTGCACTAAGGAAACAACAACAACATTCAATACAAATAATTTATCAGGATGGTCATACAAATTCAAATAGGCAGAAAACACCTTTTTCATCAAAAGCAGATATGATCAGATATTATTAAGAGTTTTTATATATATATATAAATATATATTTTTTTTTAACCCATCAGAGTGATGTTGTATCTGGAAGGAATAACACTTAGATTACGATAAATAAGAATATTAATGGTGTTTTGAATGTCATTCATGCATACTAGTAAAAGAGCATATGTAAAAAAGAAAACAAAACGTAGGCATTGGTAATATTGCTTAACAAGTGCTCTCAAATTCCAGTAGGAGAGGTAAGTTCACAATAAAATGTTAAACTTTGATTAATAAATGGTTCTTTTTTAAGCCAAAAAAATAAACATTATACTAAATAGAAACTATTTTAAAGTATATCCAAATTTTGTAGACTACAAATAACTAATTATCCTTCAAAACTACTTACTCTTTTTTTTTGTGTGTGGATTTTTGTATTTAACACCTTAACTACTACGATTTTTGGCATCTGTGACAAGTGCTGATGAGAGTTTCGGTGCAATATTGCTGTGTTTTCAATTTAAACAAAAGCAATAATAACAAGTCTAAAACCTGGAATCTTTACACATGGAGCAAGTGAATGCTAAATGTGCACATATGTGTCCTCGGAAGTGAACTTGTTAAACAGTAAAATGGAGGAAAACAAACTTAATCACTGAAGTTATGTTAGCCCTAAGATAACAGTTACAAATGTTTTAGTTCACAAATTTTACTTATGATTTTATTTGAGGAAACAGGAATACCAATGCAAAATTCTTCATCCTGTATGTTATATATGAAAGGTTGCAGTTTACTATGTGCTAATGATAGTATTTGTTTCCACCGGAAAACAAAAGTACCAATGCAAAATTCTTCATCCTGTATGTTACATATGAAAGGTTGCAGTTTAATAAGTGCTAATGATAGTATTTGTTTCTAGCAGTAATAACATATGTGCTGTTGGGTTGTCATACAAATAAATTTTAATTTTTCCTTTTGAAAAAAAACAAATGATTTAAAAAGATAACACAAAAATAAAACAACCCCAAAGGTCATAATGTTAGTTCTGTAACTTGATTAATAATGTTAAAGTAGGACAGGTATTAAAAATCATACTACCAAATGCCTCAGATAAGTATTTTTTTAAGTTGTTTAAGTGCTGTCTTGTAAAATACATGTTTGGTGGTCTGTAAAAAAAATTTCTTATAGTTTGTATTGAATATTAAAAAATTGTAATAAAACTTCTTGATCTTTGCTTACAACATATACTTCAACAGTTCCTTAAAAAAAAACTGATGGAGTTGTTTTTCTTTGTGTATGAATACATAGGTTTAATGCGTTTATATCATGACAACAATTTTGGAGCCTCACCATGTCAATAAAGTCCATATCTCCACATTCAGTCATGTTCTATATTAAACCGTGTATCTTGAAAATATCCCTGCAGCACAGTTTTCATTGCAAAAAGCTACATGTCATGTTCAAAGCACACCACTTATCTCTGATTGGTTCCCATTATCCTTCTAATGTGTGAGAATAATGATTTCCCAGAGACCATTTCAATAGTCTAATCACAAATAAATCCATAGGCACTACATCTGGTAATTTTACATGTATGTTTTCAAATAGAATAGCATGAATACCTCTTTATTTTAGCTGCTTGAGGTATGCAGCTGTTTAACATATATGTCATGGAACTAACTTGTGTCACTTTTCTAGATGGAATTCCTTTTTGATTAAGTTGTGTGCTGTTTCTTGGGGTATGACTTGTACCAGGTCTCTTTTTATATGGTCTTGGTACCACAAATTGATCCACATTTTTTTTGTTTTTCTTTGTACTTAAGTACAAAGAATAGCCTTCTCATGGAAATTCTGAATCCAAATTTTAGTGCATGACTATTTTGCTTTGGAAAGGGCTGTTGCATTTCTTCCTAAAAGTGATAAATTTTCAGTGGCATCACACTTCTACAAAACACAAAACAGTGTTAAAAGATAGTTCTGTTACATGACATTCCAACAAAATTACATGTCATGTGACTTGCCTGTTTGCCTTTTTAAAATTGTTGTTAATGTACTGAATCCTTTAAGATAGTTTCTTTACGAAAAAGTTTTACATGATTTTCTAAAACAAATTAAAGGCAGATCAACAGTGATTTAGATTAAAATTAATCTTCAAGAAGAAGACTGAATATCATAGAACCAATTCTGTACATAATTACTCATAAAAAATGTGGGTAGGGAGAAAGAAAAGGGGTTTAGAATTGCTCACATCTCACCTGTGAACTTAGTCTTGAGGGCCCACAGAACTTTGTTTCAAAAAGTATATTTTTCGGTCTTTGTGATTAATGCTACAGTATTGAGGAAAGTTGAAAATACATCCATAACACTGCACTTATATTGTAATTAATAGAGGAATTTCAAAGTTCTCTTGGTTTAGTTATGAATTTCTTTGTAATATCATAATTGTTTGGTGTGTAATGGCTATTCATCTAAAGAGTCTGTTAGAATGTTACGTTCTTCGAGAAGTAACTGGTGTGTCTTGCTATTCCATCGTATGCTTTCTTATGATTGTCAACAAATAAGAATATCCAACTTATACATGTTTTTTTATCCTTTCTCCTGGGTAACACTTGATATTGCGTATATACTTCAAATTATGTTGGGCACACACTTGATTTGAACTACACCAGTTATTTGAAGGTAGAACACACTCTAGAGAAGAAGTTTTAACCCTATTACCATGGTCCTCTTTTACTGTCATGTCATGAGGTTTTTAGTGAGTTACATTAAAAATTTAATTAAACTACTTTTTCATGTTATACCAATCAGAGTAGCATAAAATCATCACTAATAATCCATACTTTAATAGTTCATATATGTATAAAATTCTTAATTTTATAAGATTTTAATGTGACATTTTTTTGGCGTTTTTGATTAGATTTTGTATATCTGAGGCATTGGTTCATTTGTATGATCATTATGATTTACTACCATAAATGTTTTGTCTTTATAACATGTGCAATATAGGTTTAAATTCAACAGGACATAATTCTGTTTAATGCATTTCATAAAAATGCATCAGCTAATACAGAAGCTAATGGGGAACCCATAGCTATCTTCTCAACCTGATCATATCAGTTACTATTATATAGGAAATAAGATCACTCAGGACAAGTTTTACATCTTTTTTAACACTTGAAAATTTCTTCCCTGTTAAGGAGAGTGTTATACCTTTTCAGATGTTGTGTTGTGTATGAATTCAACAGTTTAAAATGTAATTTGAATATATAAGGAATTCTAAGGACCACCTAGGAGAAACAATAAGAGAACATGTCCAAATTGAACATTCTCTTCCATTAACAAGTATAGGGAAGCATGCAATGGAGGAGCATGATGTATCTGTAACTTCTTGGAAATCTAAAAATTTTCAGGCTCTTCAGATGAATAGACATTACACACAAAACAAACCATTTTGATATCACAAAGAAAAAAGCCACAACTGAACCAAGAAAACTGTGCAGTTCCTCTATTATTCAAGAAAGAATTAAGTATGTGTGTTTGCTCAACTTATTCTTATTTTTGTGTAATATAGCTTAATAGCTAATCAACAAGCAATACTTTCTTTACAATTTTACAAAATATTATCAGCCAAAAATGTTAAATAATTTTTTAAAAAGTCAATTTATCCTTAGTAACACCATTGGGGACCATGTGGACCTCTTTTTTTTAGAAACACATTTTTCAGAACTATTTATGGACTGAATTGATTGTGGATGCATGACTTTGTTGGCAACAGGGCCCTTAGTAACATATGATCACACAAAGAAATGTAAGCAAACGTGCCATCAAAATCTGGAGTTAATTACTGCTGGGATCTGCTATGTATTTTTACATAGAAGGTTAGTGATTTTACCCAACTTCTTTGGTCATTTTCTTACATAGTGTTGTAACAAGAAAAACCATAATCATTCTGTATGATGTAATATGTGGTATACGTTTTTCACATAAAAAGTGAAAAGCATTTGCAGATATTTTAACTTAATTATAAGCTTTGTGTTTCACTTCTTAAATTATAATTCTTCACAGGATATGTCTTTCAAATTTACTTTAGATTTCTTTTATATCTCTAGACATTTAAAATTTCATAATATATGAAATTTTTAATGTATGTTTTTAAGCAGGATAGTATAAATGTAGGCATTAGGTACTTTTTAGCTTTTTTTCTTCTTTCATTGCAGCACTATGGAGACTTGGGAAATGTGACAGCAGATGATCATGGGAGAGCTGTGTTTAGAAAGGAAGACAGGGTTATCAAAGTATGGGACATAATTGGTCGTTCATTAGTTGTTACTGAGAAACCAGATGATTTAGGACAAGGATCCACTAATTCCTCTAAACTTGATGGAAACTCTGGAAAAAGGTTAATTATCTAACTAGTTATTATATTAACTTAGAATTTGATACTCAGTCACAAAATACAAAAAAGAAACATCTAAAACAAAGAATGAATTAAATTAAGTTGGAAATATAACTAAATTATTCTGATAGTAACCTTTCTATCCAGAATAGGTTATTATACCATGATTGTAGAAAGTCCACATCAGTCTCATTGTTCGTTATATTAATTAGCTATACCCATTACACAGTTGCTGCTATTTTTATTTTTATATTAGGTAGCTTGTCCTGATTGGATGTGAATATTGCCTAATTGCATGTAGTTTCTTGTGATGAGTTACTGGTATTTTGATTCATTATATACAATATATACATGACAAGTCTAGAAGTGATTTTTTATTTGCTCATTATTTATGATATAATTTGTTCAACATGATAAATTAAACTGTTTTGTTAGCTCTCTCATTAGTCTTGTCTTGTTTAATGGTAAAACATTGGGTTTAATCTCAATGGTGAACCTACTAACAATCTTGCATTATGTAACCTACATCTTCATCAGTTTTATTTAGTTAAGAGTTTTGTTCCAGATTTACTGCAACAAATATTGAGAAGATAGAGCTTTAAAAATTTTTACCCTGATTTGTTTTAATTTGTTATATTTATGAAAGGGTTAACTTATTTTATCCCATCTTCTTATAAGCCAACAGGTTTTGCCACCCAACCACAATTGAACAGATCTTGGGCATTATATTGAATAAAAGGAAGTACTTATATTTTAGTTCTAAGAAAGAAAGCCACTCATTACACCAGTTAAAAGCAAGTAATGCTGTTTTATTTTTAAGATATTTAGTCCAGGGAAAACGTTTCAACATCTTTGTGTAGTTGTGGTTATGATTAAACAAAGTTATATCATTATCAGTGCTGTTCAGAACCTTTTCTGGCAAGCACTTGAAGCAATAAAACATGCATTTCCTTTTTTTAATCTTAAATATTCTTTATTATATAATATATAATCATGTTTTTTACCTTATTATGGTTTGCACATGTTACAAAGTCATGGAATTTAGTAAATCAAGTTTTAATACGATAAATTCTGGAAAATTGGTATTTTTATCACGAGGTTTTTGAAAACCTAACCCCATTGCTTCCATATCCCCAATTTTTACAGTTGACAAATTGTGCTGTTATGTTTATCTCACTTTTGCAAAAAAATGATTTCTAGAAAATATGACTTGTGAAATGGGTAAGTATGCTGACTTTGGAACACTAATCAGTAATGGGCTTTGAACTATATACTTCCATTTGTTCATGAATAGGTGGCACATAACTATTGTTGAAATGATATTCTTCATATAAAATAAGCTCAAGACTCATTTAGAAGAAATCTAAGATCATAAAATTGTTCCTAGGATAAAGAATGTGGAAGTTTCAGAATATTCCTATTTCATTGTCAGCATGAACACTTCTAAATAATTAATGTTTCTAGTCTAACTTCTTTATAGGTTATTGCCTGAAATGTGTTAATAAAAAAGTGAGAAATGTAAATCTAGACATCAACAGTTTAATAGAATGACAGTTATAAACCTAATTGCCTTGCATAAAGTGGTCAAATATTTGCAATTAAAGATAGCCTATCAGCTTTTAGTTGATTTGGTTATCCGTTATTTATGCAGTGATTGATGTAAGCTGGAGTAATTTGAGTGACATTTTGGGCCCCAATACTAAATATTTCAGGGACAATCTTTTGTTATTAGTCTATGTTTTAAGGTGCATTATTTAATTAGATAAAAAAATATTTAGTGTAGTAGTACCATTAGTATAAAAAAAAGTAGGCTTAAGTTTCATCAACAATCAACAGCAAAAAAAAGAAGACCCAGGTGGGTACTATATTTCTTGTTATTCATGTGTATTTATTTACTAAAATGTAAAGAACAGAAATGCATTAGGTTATACTAAATAAGATAATAAAAATAATAAAATTTCTTCATGAAGCATGCTTGGAAGCAGCTCGTGCGTTACGTAATTTGATACAGTAATGTGAACTGCACATTCACTGATTGCTTTACATCTTGTGTGATTGGATTATTAGTTAGCAGTGCAAAGGGTAATAAAACAATAAAATTAAGTATAAATAAATGTATACTATTACAAGTTTGAAGCTATTTAGGATAAACAAATGTGGTTTTCTGATACAACTTACAGTCATTTCAGAAAGAAGAAAGGGTAATTTAGATTTATTTCATATTTTTTTATGGTGATTACTAGGTTAGTCAATTTGATCGATCCTGTATAGAATTAGGGTTGATAAAATATAGTTTTACTGAGAAAAAAAAATGTTTGAAATTTATATAGGAAGTTTTAAAGATTAAACAATTGAAATTTGCGATTTTTCAGATGAAGAAATATATTTTTAATCTTAACATGAAAATCACTTTGTACTCGGAGAAGTTAACACTTTGACTCCATATATTCATGGAGAAATTTTTGTTAAAAAAAATATACTTTATTAAAAATTATAATTTTTTATCTTCTGGACTTATAATGTGTACTGAACATTTGTGAAATTTTGTGAATATACACAAAACATATTAGAAGTTATAGTATGGACTTAGGCAGTTTGACTAAGTCTGTAGCAAGAGAATTAAAGAATACTTGGAATGTTTATTCACCTTACTAGTGAGTACTTCCACACACTGCAATTGTTGCACCTCACCAACAATAGTGGCTCCAGCACTAAAAATGTGAGGGGGCTAAACAAGACATCTTACACTCGTATGTAATTTTAAAAGGACTTGTTATTCCCCCCAAATTTTAGCATGCCTTACAGAAGCCAATGTTGGGTTTCAAAAAGTACTTTGTATTGAGTTTCAAAACCCCCAAAGTATTCAGAAGTTGACTTCTAGCATAGAAGAAAGAAAACAACTTCCAGTTTTGGTAGTGTGTTTGCAAACTTGTTTTTTGTTGTACACGTTGCATTTTCTCTATGTGTGTATGATTAAATGGGGGGGGGGATCTGGCACTGGACTGAAAGTGGTTACTGACACCTAATACTTACAGATATAAGGCATAACATTCAGTGTACCATTCCTAATGACATACAGATCAGCCCATCCATAGAAGCAGATGATCATTAATGAGTCATCCTTGAACTTGTAATTATTAATGTGGCATTCTAGTTAGCCCCACAAGTACATCAACCATCATTCAATTCAAAATAGAAATAAAATAGGGAAGTGTAATGCTAATTCCACAGTTATAATTTAGGAACTTGCAGTATATCTGTGTGTGTGTGTATTCACACACACCAATCTATTTTTTTATTCCTTATTTATTTTGTTCAGTATAAATATAGTTCCAGACTATAAACGTATGCATCTGTAAGTATCAATCCATCATTCTACACGTAGTGTATGATAATAAAGGTACATTGTTGGGCTCATTCCAGTATTATGTACGTGCATTGACTCATGGAAAAATTATCTGTATCCATTCCATTCTATTGTTATATGTATTACATTTAGTAGAAATTGATAATTAGGTTATTACTAAGCTCTTCTGAGTCTGACCAGTAAAAATCAGTTTCATATAAATTCCAATTGCGATATTTTTACATCTTAGAGTTACAAAAACAGAGGCAAGATGCATGATACCAACATGTTTTAAGTTATGACACTGTTAAGTTGTTATCATGTAGATTTATAGTTTGTTGGTAGAGCAATGCAGAGTTCAGTTAAGTAGTTGGTGTTAGAGTAGCACTTATAGACTATTAATAATGTTATTGAATTTAATAAAAAAGTTTCTTTATATCTACATGTGTATATATAATAGATATAAAGATGATGATTTTTTTCTCCTCTGTTTTGTCTCTTTAGTAACATGGAATTTTTCATTTAATGAAATTGCAGAATGTGCATGAAAGATTAGGTCAAAATATTTAAACTGATAAAATGAGACAACTTCTAAAGCAAAACACTTGTTCTACCATGGCTTTCAAAGCCAGCAGAATATTTAGTCACAAAGTAAAAATTATAAAAATAAACAAATTAAATTATTATCCTGATATTACAATGAAATACCTCAGTTTTTAAAGTGTTTTAAGATTGTCAAATTGATAACCACAGCTCTACTAAGATTATTATAAATAACTTTGAACTTTATTACTCATAGTATAAATACACACTAAATGTAAATTTAATTTTTCTGTCTCAGAAATCTGCCATAAGATTTTTGTAAGAAAAGTATGTGTTAAAGTTGTCATGAAAATTCAAATTGCATATGCCTGCCATGAAGTATTGGCCTGTAATAAAACCCTCAGCTTGTTGATCACAACTTTCATTTTGAGTTTTGTTTCATTAAAGGTTCTGTTTATATTTCTACCAAGATCTATTTATAAAAGATACATTGTGCAAAATAGGATAGTATACTAAACAATTTTGTTTTGCTCTAATTCCTTGAAATTATTTTGAACTAAGAGAAACTTTAAAAGACATCTTGCAGTTTTACTTCCTCGACACACTAGTTTATAGCATTGACGTGACATCAGACAAATGTGAAGGGGTATTGTCTTGCAAAGTTAAAATATTATTAATCTTTTGGTACTCAAGCCAGTATTTTATTTCTAAATACATTATAGAAAGCCATAAGAGATAAATTAACAGGCCTGAAAGGATGTGATATATGTTAAAAGATACAGTGGCCATAATAACCATCATGAACTCTTAGTCTTAACAGTTATCAACCCCCATTCAATGTTTAAAGTTATGTGAAGGTCCAATAAAATGCACTGTAGGTGTATCTGTAATTGAAGAAATTATCATTGCTTTTTCTTTTTTTTTATTCCAGGCTTTCCTGTGGAATTATTGCACGATCAGCTGGACTGTTTGAAAACCCAAAAAAGATTTGTCTCTGTGATGGAATTAGCGTTTGGAATGAAAGAGATTACCCGGTGGCTGGAGAAAGTAGAAATCAAAAAGACAAAATAGAAATATAAATAACTTTATCTTTTTCTGGGATGTTCCTGGTCACAAAGCAAAGATTTGATCCCCCATTGCAACTTCACATGTAAATTGTGAATAATATATTTTGAAATTAAATAGTAGATAATGAGAAATAAAAATAACCAAGTACATTTGAAAACATTGAGTGATGTGCTGTATTGCCACATTCATTTATTGAGATAATATTTGTCAGTCTTATAGTTATAGAAACAATTTTGTTAGCTTTGGTGGAAATAGTATAATTTACTAATATATAATGACACATTAATTTAAATGATAAATATGGGTTTTCACAACACACACTTCATATTTTGTTTTATTAGCCAAATTTTTAAGTATTCATTCAATACATTGTTTTGCCAGATAAGTTATTAATTCATTGTTATATAGACAGTTAGTGAATTCTGTTTTTCTTTTATTGCTTGTAACGGAACATTAATCAAGTGAAAATAATATACAAAGTTGCAATATCTTCCCCAAAGAAAGACTTTTGTAAATATTACTGTCTGCTTTCTTTGAGACATATCTCTAGATACTATGAAATGAAACTGAATATTTAAAACCTAATTATTATGGACTGTAGTGGTATGAGTGTATCTTTTTCTTTTTGAAATAAAAAAAAACAGAGTTTATTCAATATGAAAAATATTTTCAATATAACTAGAATTAATAAAATTTACAGCCAATCATGATGTTTAAAGGATCAAAACCTGAGCAACTTAACATATTTAGATGACAAACCAATGTAGCTATGTGTTGCTTTAAGAATAAAGTTGTTTTCAAAGTATAATTTATACTTGGGCTCAAGCTATAGGTAAAAACCTAAATCCGTTCGGCTCGATTTCTGTATCGATAGTTTGTTACATTATTTTCTTTTTTCTAGTGATTTTTATACAATTTCTTATTGTTGGAAGCAAACAAAGACAAGTTCATTAGAAAATCATTTGTTAACTCATTAACAAATTTCATTAGAAATCATGGTTTGGTTATTTTGATTTTTTTTATGGAGTTTTCCTTATCATTTGTCTCTGAACCTTAAAATACTCGTTAATCAACTTTAAAAGACTGTAAAAACTTGATGAAGCCATTTTCTCTGCTTAGATGATACCTGAAGTAGACCTCACAACTGTCGTTTAGTGTGCTTTAAGAAACTTCTTATATCTTTCTTTAAAGCAATCTTAAACCTACTGCTTGTATGTACTTGTATTGTTCTTGATGGACCTAGCCTTCCTTTTCTTGATTGTTAGTTATTTAATTGTTAAATATGAGAAAAAAAAAGGTTTTGTTTCTTGTAAAACCATTTTTCATTCTTAAAACTTTTTTGGTTAAGTTAGGCTTACTTTATACTTTGTATACAAGTTCTCTCATATCTCTTATATTACATAATTAATAACTTCCTAAGTTGTTGCTGAGAACAAGGATTTGTTTTTTGAGATCTAATGTGTTTTTGTGTTCCTTTTCTTTTGTAACACCTTAGTATGAACTTTATTAAGATGGATAGGCTATCACTGTATTTAACTATTAAAAAAATATGCCTTAATAATTTTACAAAGAAATTCAGGCAAGTAATCGCCTAAAATTGCTGGACTTAAGGGATAGGTGGTGCAATGCCTTCAGTGTTTGATGATGTTGAGCACTTGAGAAAGGAGCAACTCCTTGACAGAGGCACAGTCACAGCTGGCATTAGCAACAAGTTAATCAAGGGTTTAGGACGTGAACCTAGGTAGCACCACATGGTTATCAAAGACATTTTGTATATGACTGAAGCTGGAGAGGAAAAAAATCACCCTTTGCCTAGAACATGCTCCCAAGATGATAACATATCAAAAGCTTTGTAATCAACTCGTTGCTCCACTGCAGCAAACACCACCAAGTATCATGGTACTAATTTTCAGTGGGTAAACAAGTCTTCCCAGATCCTCTTACAATAGTTGTACCATTATAACAGCATAGAGGTCTATGCATTAATTGTGGGTTATTTGGACACTGGAAACCATGCAACAGGAGAGAGATAAGTTTTCTCCCAGTCAATTGTCAGACAGCAACAGTAGGACCGAAGACAAGAAATGGCTGTAACTGCTGTTTTGTCTAATTTAAATGAATGAAGCATGTGGGTGAAACAGTCTGCTTATGTCAAAAGTATGGTGGACAGCTAAGTTCACAGTAGATTAAACATATCTTATTACATGTCTTTAATAATACCAGACACAAAATTGAGTTTTTGGTTGGCACTGGTGATATCTGAAGTTTGTTGTAAATGAGGTTCTCTGGTTAAAGCCACTATTTCGGCCAGTCAGCTTTGACTTTGGTCACTAATGGAGATAAGCTTTAGGTAAACAGAGATACACAACTTTTCTCTGTAAACTATTGGTGCTGTCTTATGAATGATGAAGGCCATCATCTCTGATCTTGGTTTGAACATTGGTATCTTATGTATGAGCCTGCTGTATAAGATGTGACCCAGCATAGCCTGTGGTTAAGGTGAGCTGCAACTAGGCAGTTAGTTAATTCCATCCCATACTGGGATCCAGTGCTAAACACTGGTTGGATTGGTACAAGTGAAGGAAAATGGTGACAAATTCCCCTGGATGGGATGCCAGCATCTTTGCAGTAAAACCACCCAAAGCTGGTGCCATGTTTAAATAGAGTGGATGTTGAAGGGCAAAAGGAATACTTGGTTATTTCCAATATTAATTGTTAAACATATGGTAAACAAAGGATCTTTGTGAATTTTAAGAAAGTGTTGATTCATTATCATATCTGTGAGTGTTGAGTGGATCATGTAAAATTAACACACTAGCTTTGACATCTAGCAACTGCCAAACACAGATGTATGGTAAAACCAAACTGAAGACTACTTTTGGCATTTTCATTGACTACTATGAGTTTTGTGTTAAGCCATTTGCTTCATGTTATGCATCTCCTACATTTGAGTAGCAAATAAACTTTACATTAGAAGACTGTTTGGGTGATATGTTGGTGTTAAAGTGTATATTTCAGTTTAGTGCAGAGTTCCCAGGTTTGAAATTGAAAACAGGAAAGACTAACAAGAACAAACACTGTGGCCATTGATCTTACAAAGACTGCAAGGGTTAAGAATTGGCTTCAGCATGTGATTAAGAAAGAGGAAGTTTGCAGCTTTTCTAGTCTTTGCATCTTATTATCAAAATTCTCTGGCAAACCATTTCCTGCTCTAACTGAAATTGCTTTGAATTTTAGATGGATTAAAGTCTGTAACTACACATTTCAGGCTCCATTGTTAACTCATCCCAGGCACAAATGCTGTTAATATTGAAGTCAAAACACTAGTGTCACAAGAGTGGGAAGGTAGGTAGCATGTAATTGTGAATGTTATTCATCTACTGATGGCTGATACTGTATGAGGAACATAAAAATTGCCTTTTATTTTAGTATTTTTTGGTCACTACCAGCTCTACTTGTATTATATTAAAATTATTATTAGGGTGGACCAAGTGCATCACTAACCAGTTTTAGGAGTTTAAAAAATACCAAACCTATAATTATGTATTTGAGTTCAACTTTGTTTTGTTATACATCACCATTCAAGGAAATGCTTATTTGCCCCTGAAGAAGAATGGTGTCCACCTTTGGAAATTGCTCGGGTTACAGGGTTTTTATCATTTTATATCAAAAATTCTTGAACCTACCTTTTTTTCTGACATCATCAAGGAAATGCATGATAATGCAGTGAGAGCTTGTCTGTTTGTTGAATATTAAGACCCTAGACTTCATGTAACTGTAAAAATCATTGAGACAGTAGTGGAAAACCATGCGCATGGTACTGATTGCACTTATGGACACAATGTATGGCAATACAGGAGCTTTAGAATGAGCAGCAGAAAGACCCAGATCTAGATTGGCATTGCTTACTCTACAACATAGTGAAGCATGACCTTCTCAGGCTAGTCTGTGTAGTATGTATTCAAATACAGTTGTATTTATTCATTACAGAGAATGGCTTGAGATATAGCTGGAAGCTGATAATGATAATTGGTGTGTAATGGTTATTATCAGTTACTTTGCCAATTGAGCTAAAGCTTTTGGATAGGATGATTCACAACACCTGGAAGAATCCACATGGAACCATGTACAAACTTAACAGTCATTTGTTTCCACAGTTGTACAGAGTGTTAGGTGTGTGATAAAATGAACTTCACAAGATCGTTCCTCAGTCTATTGATTTGACTAAAAGAGATAGAAACATACTCATAAACATGTGCTTTTGAAATTTATGAATCCAGGCCAAACTCACTGGGATGAACATTTGTAATACGTCATGATAGAATAAGATGGAAAAGAGCAACAGTCACCTTGCTTTTCATCACATGGTCATATATGAAGTGAAATTCCATGTAGTTGATGTTGTGATAAGATAGGTCCCATGATTTACTAGGTGAGATGGAGATTAGGCTAACGTCTGAAAATCACGAGCAAATGTAATTTATATTTAAATTCAAGAATGACTCATAGCTCACAATTCCACCTACTCCTTAAAAGTGTTTATAATGAGGGTAAAAGAAATAGATTAATTCAATTACAAATAATTAAACTTAGTGAATGTCTATTAAAAATAGTAGAATTGGATAGTACAAGTTTAACTGTATGGGTAATTAATGATAGCTAAATTTGCTAAATGTGAAGACTTCAATGCTGAGAGGCCATTGACTGTTTAGTCTACTGTTCATTCTTGTCATTAACTTACAGAAAATAAATCTAAAGACCGTTTTACAAGAAACAGAAAAGTACATGATAACTTCCTCTCTTATGCACTTTGTTTTGGAAATTATATCTGACACAAAATCATATACAGTTTTCATGAGTATTTCTTCTTACTATTTGTTTATGTTAACACTAGTTAGTATAAGTGATGTTCAGCATTATATAACCAATAACTAGTAATTCAACAGATATATTTATAAATAGATGAATTAAAACAATAACTTGTATAATAAACTACATCATGCAAAAGGATAATGAGGTTTGTTTAAATATGTATATTTATAGGTTATTAATTGTTTTTCAAATTTAGCATGTTTATTGTAGAGGATTACGTTAATCTTACCTAGGGTTTGCAAGTTTATGTAGCAATGGTTCCTTATGTAATAGGTTTTTATGAAAAATGACCCAAATTCTGCAAAGCAAAAAGTTAGTTTTGATTGATCAGGAAAGATGTTTACAGTTGAAGTAATGCTAGGTTTATGGATTTTTTTTTGTTGGTATTTTCTTTTGGAAAGAATATATGAGTTGTTCAAAACCAGTTAACTAAAACTGAGGTGACTTGAGGTCATGGAGGTGTCACAACTTGTGGACAGTAGATCGTGGCCCAGATACAAGGTCACAGGAGAATGTACCAAGAGGTCAGGTCACTTGATAATGTATTTAATGGTTATGGACAGGCTCCATGGGGTTAGGCTATGTGTCAGGATACCAGTTAGAGCCCCTGTACTAACCTCAAGGCACCAAGCAGCCTGGCTGGCATTTCCCCAGGAACATATCAGCTGAACCCTTCAGCAGTAGACCCCCCTATACTGATCACAGATAAGAGTATGTTCTGTATATCAAATGGTTGACATGGGAGGGTCTGGAGACATGAAGGAGAGAAGTATTCAGCATGTAACTCAATCCTGACAGCAAGAATTTACCAGGATTAGATCCTACTACTCATTTTTCATTCTTTTGCTGGTGCTATCACAGATGATTTTGTGTTAGCAGGATAACTCCCATCCTTGCACTGCCAGGATCACATAGTAATTTTTTCAATATGAAGGA